AATTTTTTTTGTTTCTATAAGATTCCTTAGAAATTTGAATTACTGTGTATAAGCCAAGTACACCCAAATGAATTCAGTTAAAAAATAAACAGGATCTTAAAATGCAAATTAAACTTTGAAATAATGAGAATACAAAAGCATAGCCAAGAGATATTGGACACAGCAATACTATGTTCCTTCATGGTTTCCAAGTTGCAGGTTTTCCAAAGAAAGTTATAAAGGCAATAATGAAGATTGATTTAAATATTTATTTTATTGATCATGAGTATTTCTATGATGCTTCAATCAGCTGACTCTAAGTGGCTTATTATCCGCCTTCCATGCTCCGTGAAGTTGTTTTCTGCTTTCCAATAGCTTCTGAATTTTTTTAAAATTGTATTTTTTTCAAGCTATTATTATTATTTTTTAAATGAACCAGATTGAAATAATATAGAAGTAATATACAAGAAAATAAACCACCAAGCAAATAAAATATCCTTTTTAGTTATTCATTTTACTATGTTTTATGTTTATGTTTCCATTTTCTTTGTTTTGGGTATATTTCAATTATTGTTGCATTTTAAGATTTTCTGTTGCATAATTATTTACTTTTATATGTATAATACTTAAAAGTATGTTTTTATCAGCTTTTTATATCTATAAATAGTAAATTTAAAATAACAAAGTTTAACTAGCACATAGGAGGGAAAGCTTATACAATCTAAGGATGGAAAACTAGAGATCTGAGACTAAAACTAAATAAACGAAAACTTAATAAAGTTCGTAGTAATTTGTTTCTACACACATATACACATGGTTAAGTATTTCTGTCACTTTTTCCAAAGGGCTTGTTGTTTTTGTTTACAATATAAACAGTAAAAGAGTCTCTTCTGTATTAAAAGGTTTCCTGCACCTGCCAAGGGAAAAATGAATAACCGAGACATGTCCATTGATGTTCCCACTGGGAGAGAGAAGACAATAAATCTATTGCTTACATTTTTGCAGCAGCTAAATGGTCTTCTAGGCAAATTTGAGAAAAACTGTTTTGAAGCAAGTCTGCAAAAATCAGCATCTGTTTGACTGAACTACATCTTCTCTCTGGGAGTCACTGGTGGTGGAAAAATGCTGAAAAGATTGGAGAAAATTTTATTTGAAGAAAGGATCTTTTCTTAATTAAAGTCCTCTAAAACCTATTAGTCTTCTTCCACATTTAGATTAACAACAACAACCAATGCCTGGCTTAATTTGCAGAAGGAAGTAGAGAAGTTCTTCCAATGCAATGAATGAAACTACTGGCAACTTATTTCCAACAGTTTAGTGCAATCTGTATTCACTCAAGTTACCATAACTTCCAAAATTTATTCCACCAGCTGCTACGTAGGCAGCTGCCTAATTGTAGACATGTTCCAGTCACATAGTTTTTACACAACTTTTAATCAGCAGAGTTTCTTAGAAAACAGAGAGTTTTATTATTACAGAGATTCTTCCACAAAGAATTTATACCCAGTAATCACTAAATCTTACATGATCATTGTCATTAATATAATTTCAATTATTTGCAAAGGAGACTAGAAACAAATTTGAGGACTTTGATTTTTTTTTTATAAAACAATTTATTGAAGCAGCAGTTGCAAAATTTGTATGTAACCTTTTTATTATTTTGTTATATGTGTTTACACAAAGGAACCTGACATAAAATTTAAAACATTCAAATAAGAGCTGAAGTTTTTTGAAATTTCAGATTGTCCTCTTGGTAAGCAGAGAAATAAAATGTATTTTAGTGCCAATCTTGGATCAGCCTGTTAGCACATAATTTCCTGACATTTCAACATTATTTATTGAATTAATTCAATATTATTTTGTGTGTTGATTCTTAACTTACTTTATTGAAGTATTAACTTACTATTGAAATTGTGAGCTTTTTTAGAGTAAGACCTTCTTATAAGGAGAAAAATATAAATGAGTGAAATACATGTACCTATAGGACTACAACATATTTTAAACATCAAAAATTATATTTACCTAAGAGTTGCTTTATTTGCTTAGCCGTTTACAAATTCTAACCTTGCAATTCAGTGTCTGATTCTTTAGAAATAAGTCCAACCTATGTCAATGATATTCACTTTTCAGCAAATAAAGATAGGTTCTTACTGCTATTATTGTTGTGAATGTACCAGTATTCTTCTAAAGTATCATTTCAATATTCAGTAGTTTGGTTTATTCCTATAAAAATATGAACTGACAAGTGATTGCCTAAAAACCCTTTCAAGAACTAGAATTTAACTATATTTATGCTGCGTTTGTGCTAAAATTGGCAACAGTTGGATTTGTGTCTGCTGCAGCATTGGTTGTGGATATACTGCACTGCTAGTTGGCTTTATTCCTGAATGTCTAGCATTTCTGAAATTCACTCAGGGCAACTCTCTCTCTCTCTCCTTTCCTATTCTTAAAGACCTCTGTAGGGATAACCCACAGTGTGGGACTCAATACTTTAGCATGCTATTAAGTTATTGCCACCCCTAAGGACAACTCTGCAAGGAGGATGAGGACTCACATAACTCTGAATCAATAAAGGAAGCAGCTCAATTAGCATTTCACATGCTTTTCTTCCCTCTCTTCTTACCTTCCCTGCAGTGGGCATGCTTTTCCCTTAAAGGATTGTCCTGTTTCTGCTCATTGCCAGCGTTGGCAGGGTGACAGTAGTCGAGTGTGCAAACTTGTGCTATTGTCCCCAGTCCAGGGGGAGTCATGGAGACCCACTAATATGACACAGGAAAATGTTTGCTGATGGCAATTCTATGGGCTTTGTCTAACTCTTTCTCCATCATGACGACTCGATTTAAGTCTCTAACTGTTTGACTACAGATGCAAGAGTACTATCCAACTCCATCCTTTTGTCCGGGTAGTTTGAATGGGTAATTCAGCTTTTGTGTGGCTCAATTGAGGGGGCAAACATAAAGACAAGATTCTTGAGCGCTCAAGCTTCTTTTCCATGGATATCTGCACATCTCTTTAGAGATTTGTTCTTTTCTTACCTTTTTCTGACATCACCCTCCCTTTAAGTGGGGGAAAAGGCCTGATCAAGAACAGTTTAAAAAGTAGGCTAGCCAGGTCTTCCAAACTAGCATTGTCCAGTGTTACTCAAGCATGGTTACTGCCAGTCTTCAGACAGCTTTGGAGTAGTTTAGAGAAAAGAGCCTCAACAAGTTTTCTTTACTCATCCTCAGCATATCATGTTTGATTGTGTTTAAAAAGGGAGGGGGGGTGTTGGAACAGAAAGAATGGTAGGAATCACAGGGAAATGATCGTATTTATTAGCTGTCTTTCTGTGGCTGTCCCCATGGTGACAATTTGTGATGGCAAAGAATGTGAGAACAGGGAGCCTAATGCCTGATTGGGATGCTTTGTATTTGGCAAAGTGGCTTCTGATTGGCCTGAGAAAGCCTCCTAACTAGAAGGGCTTGATATTCATTCAGCTTACTCAAGTGCTGCAAAACACTCACAGGGTCCGGCTGCTTCTCTAAAGGTTGGTAGTATCTAACCTATGTAACAAGATTAGCTGGTGAGCTGCTTCTTCTCTACCACAGAGTTACAGTAACACTCAAGGTTTAAGAGAGAATCTTGCTGGGAAGGGTGTAATTTAATGTGGAAGGCCATGAAAATGGTGCATAGATATCTACTCAAAGGTTAAATGCTACCTGTCTAGTAAGATTAACTAGTAGGGCCATAGTCACAGCACGTATAAGACTGGAATAAGAGAAACAGACTATATTGAGATATATAGGAATGATTGTACAAATGATATAATTGTATTATTAAGCTGTAAATTTGTAGAATAATTATAAACAAATATGTATACAATACTGCAAGACCTTTGTGGATGGAGTTCATGATCCTGCAGGAGACGAAAGCATTTGAAACAATGTATATATTGAATGGATTAATTATTTGAAACAAATGTTTGTCTCGCTTCTGCAGGTCTGCCTTTGTGCCCAGCATATTTTAGTGTTTATATATATTATGTGTATTAGAGGATGAGAGAGTAAGAGAGAAAGAATATTCAGGCATTTAAAAACTGAAATCCTAAAAATGTTTATCTGGATCCATTGAATACATAACAGTTTATACAATTGCATTATTAAACTAAAACGTTTTGGGGGTGTATGTGGAGCTGTAATTAATAGTGTTAAAACTGGGTTTTAACAGAGAGCTGAGTATAATATGAATATGATTATTACAGATATGTGAAAAGAAATGTGAGTTATTTCTTCAGGAATTGTCATGTGTGAAAGTAAAAATGCATTTTAGTCTTTGTTACCCTATTTGTGCAGACACGTGGAATGCCAAGGAGAGGACAGAAGGTAGAGGGGGCTTTTTAATAGTACGTTTAAACTGAATGAAAGTGGGTAAACTATGGGGAAAAAACGTTTACAATATACCATATAACTTTTATAAGATGAAAAATATAATTACTTACTTCAGTATTGTGGGAGTCGAGCACTGAAAGCATTCAAAAATGCATTTGCATCCCTAACAATGGATACTTCAATCTAGATGAAGTTTAAATTGAGGCATTTACTCTGCCTCATCCTTGAGTTCCACGAGAGGTCCACCCATGCCTGTTTTAATCTGTATTTTCCCACTGATTTTCCCATATATATTTTTTTCATTACCAGAGGGGGGAAAAAATCAAGGAAACAGAGGAAGGCGCAGCGCATTTTGGTCAATTAACACTTGGAGCGGTCTTTTTGGAAGTCTCCGGTATGGTGTGAAAGCACAAACTGGGAAGAAATGCACGCGGATGGCTACCTACCTGTGTTACCCACCTTCCCATGTGGGAAAAGCGGCCCGATGTTCCTGCCAAGGATAAACATTCCCCGTCATCCCATTTAGCCTAAGCGAGCCGACCGTCGCCTCGGGTTAGGCGCTCTCAGGCGCGCGCTGGCTCTGAGGGAGCCAACCCTTTCATGGACGGGCTCTCCTTCTTCCTCGCCTCTTCGGATCCGCGGCCGGGCTGAGCGATGGCTTCGGCAGACAGCGAAGTGAAAACCCTCCTCAACTTCGTCAACTTGGCCTCGAGCGACATCAAGGCCGCCCTGGACAAGTCGGCCCCCTGCCGCCGCTCCGTAGACCACAGGAAGTACCTGCAGAAGCAGCTCAAGCGCTTTTCCCAGAAATATTCCCGCTTGCCCCGCTGCCATCACCACCACCACCACCACCACCACCTGCAGCCGCAGTTGCCTCCCGCTCGGGAGCGGAGACCGCCTGAAGGGAGGGCACGAGGCCTGAGCCCAGAGAGTTCGCTAGGCCGAGGCCACGGGGCCCCCGGGCCGGCCAAGGGCGACAAGGCCTCCAAAGCCCCAGAGCGCCTCGGCGGTGAGCAGCAGCAGCAGCAGCAGCAGCAGGCGGGGACTTCGGAAGCAGGCGCCAGGCCCGACCAAGTACCCATGAGGAAAAGGCAACTGCCCGCTTCTTTTTGGGAAGAACCCCGGCCTGCTCCGGGCTCCCCCGGTGTTGTCAGTGGCGTGATCTTTCCAGTGGGAGTTTGCTCATCGCCCTCTTCTTCCTCGTCACCCTCGTCATCTTCCAAAGACCTGCCTCCTTACGAGGGAAAGAAAAATATAATAGGCCTCGACGGCGGCGGCACCGGTACGGTTCCCGAGAGCCCCCAGCGCAGACCAGAGGCCGAGGACGCCCTCAAGGGACTCAGGACCTGGGGCTGCTGTCCATTTCAGTACCACGGGCCACAGGCCTCCCCCGGCGTCTACCCGCCCCCGCTGCCTGCCGCCCTGCCCCCCGCGGCCCCCTTCTCGGCTTTGGGTTCGTGGCGGAAAGATGCTCCTTCCCCGACGGAGGGAGAGGCCTTCTGCCAGCCAGGGCAGAAAGTGTATCGGCCTGTAGTGTGGAAGCCCATCCCCACCAAGCCCGCCGCGCCGCCCCTCATCTTTAGCGTCTTCAGTTATCTTTAGCTGTAGCAGCTCCCCTCAGCTTGCAAGGACCTCACTTCTCGATCATCAGGTTGCTCACAGTGCTGATTTGGAAACTGTGCCTTAGGCCAGGGGTCTCCAACCTTGGCAACTTTAAGACTTGTGGACTTCAACTCCCAGAGTTCCTCAGCCAGC